TCAGTCCATTAACCTACAGTGTGGTGAGTTGAGACTGGCCTAAACGAATTGTTTTTTTGGATAATTTGAGTGATACCTCAATCACTTACTACAATCTAATTTATTACCATATTGTCCACATATTATCCATTTATCAATCATTTGTTTCTCACTTTTAGTGTTGAATAAACCCTTTATTTTAATATTTTCATGATGACCTGCTTTCAAGCCATTCAAGAAGTAACTTACCACAATAATATCGGCATCGGAACCATTTGTGATCCAAAATTTATGGCCATTCAGAATATAATAATCCCCCTTTTTTTCTGCCTTCAGTTTCATCGAAATAACGTCTGATCCTGCTCCAGATTCTGACATTGCTAAGGCTCCTATGTGTTCACCAGAACATAACTGAAAAATATTCTAATGATTATAACTTTCTTAAATGAGTGAGTGATTGTGTTCTACTGTTTATTGGCGAAATTTGATAACTCTCAGAAACAAAACACTATTGAAAATGTTAATGATACGTCTCAAAATTATTTTTTGAGAAAAATCCAATGCATCAAATAATATATTGTATACTAGCTGACCCGGCAAACGTTGTTTCTAGGTAATTTCTAGTGTAGACAAAAAATAACTAACTTATTGTAAGTGTGTAAGAATGTGGTATATGCGTGAAATAGACATGGAGCGCTGTGAACGATGAGGGAATATAAAAATAACAAACGCCAAACATTATTATTTTCAAGTTATTATAATTTATTCCTTAAAATTATATATCATTAATTAATAACGACAGTTATGTGTGAAAAACATGGTGTGCTCAAATCTAAGCCACGAATAGACATCGTTTGGCCTTGGGATTTGTTGATGGTCATATCAAATGCCAATCTAATTGGAAACTGAATACGTTTGAATTGAATTGGCACATCTGTAGGTATAATAGGAATCCGTGGTGTTAATATGTTTTCTCCCCCGGAACTTGCTATTTAAAATGCTGGCTTCGATAACGTTTTTCAATAATTTTTGAATGACTAATCGTGTACCCTTGCACAGCCGTGGCGGTTTCAAATTCCGAAGCAAGATAATCGGAGATCCAACCTTCAATTGTAAATTATGCTAGCTTCGCTAGCATCGCAATCTGTATCAATAGATTTGTATGACACCAAGTTCCCTGGCAACAGCTTTTGTATCTTTAGATTTAAATTGCAAGCCACTCATGATTTACGTACTGTGTTGTACATCACGAAATATTTGTTCAGCGATTGTGCAGAAATAGGTCGGTAATTTTACGTATCCAGTTTCATCTGTAGCAACTTTTCCGTCACCAATATCTAAGAGTTGTTTTGAGAATGTTTCAGCGGATGGATCTTGAAGCATTTGAACGCGCATATTTACTTTCAGCTGTACTTTTTCAACATTACGCCACAATGGAGATGATTTAAAGCAAGCGTTGATCTCATCAGCGTATGTTGAACGTGGAATGACGGGAAGTGTTTGTCTGAAATCACCTGAAACGACCAACAGAGTGCCGCCAAATAGTTTGTTTTTAATATCTTTCAATGTCCTGTTCAACGCCTCAAGCGTATGTTTGTGTGCCATAGTACATTCGTCCCAGATGATGATTATACACTGTTTCAGCACGGTGGCCATGGACGATTGTTTTTTAATGTTGCATACTGCCTCAGGGTTATTTTGAATATTTAGTGGCAGCTTAAATACTGAATGAGCTGTTCTGCCTCCATCCAATAAAGTTGCCGCAATGCCCGATGATGCAACGGCCAATGCGATTCCATTATTTGATCGTATTTCAGCAAGAATTAGCGAAATAAGGAATGTTTTGCTAGTTCCACCAGGTGCATCCAAAAAGAAGAACCCTGTAGAGTGAAAAACATTTACGAAAAAGACGATAATTGATCAGTTATCGAGCGGGATGAAAATTGATGAAATTACTAAAATGGCTATTGAAAAATAGGGGTAGGTGATAAAAGGGTAAAAATTTAGGGTTGTATGTATTTTTAACGAATTCAAACCTAAGATGGCGAAAGAATCAATATCTACTATGATAAATTTTAATACATAATCTTTATTTTTTAAAGAACAATTCAATTCACACTCTCCTACAACAGGAATACTAGCATTGGAATAGTTAGTTAATTTTACATTAGTTTTCTTTATTTTTTCAATCGGCAAATTGATTTTTATCAAATCTTTTTTACTCAGAACATTCACCATCGCTACAGTATCTAGCTTAAAACTAAAAGTGGCTACTTTATTTACAAAAATTTCTACTTTCCATTGTTGACACCGAATCTCAGATGTGTCATTTACCATTCCAATAAATACTCTATTTTGAGATAAGTTTTCACCTATGTCATCAGCCTCCTCCATATTACACTTCTCAGAATGAACCAAATGAATATTCCGCTGGCGACACATTTTGTGGAAATGATTAAACTTACCACAGAAACTGCATTGTTTACCAGTAGCCGGACAGTTTTTACCTCTCATGTGTTGTGAGCCACACCTATAACAGAGACCTTTCATCTGGCTTGATACTTCAGATCTCTGCTGCCTGAATGACTGACCTGACGAGCCCGCTACCTGGTGCTGATTTGGACATTTACTTGATTGCTGCCTTGTCTGGTGCTGATACGTATTAAATTTTCGCGTTCCTTGAAAAATTCTTGAATGTTCTTTCTCCTGCCATCTCTTTCTCTTGTTTTTTGGACTCCTCAACCGACAAACATATTTGAACTGCCTTTTTCAGTTCCAATTCATCATCTTCTAATAATCGTTGTTTCAACTCAACCGAAATTAGTCCACTTATTAACACTGAACACGTTGAACTTTCTTCTATGTCTCCCAACTCACAGTTTTTTGCCCTATTCTTAAGTTCCGTTACATATTGTTGTACTGTTTCTCCCTCAGATTGCTTCCTATTGATGAATTTGTATCTTTCAAACGTAAGATTTTTTTTCGGTTGAAAATGCTCTTGAAACTTTTTTATCAAAGGTTCAATTTTATCTGTTTCACCATCCAAAAATTGAAAAGTATTATAAATGTGCAATCCTTCATCACCAATGTACTGCAGTAATTGAGCACATTGCAGATCCTCCTTTTTTCTATCTAACTCTGCTGCCTTTAGATAATTTTTGAACTTTTTTATCCAAAAATTCCACTTCTCCGAAACATTTCCGCTCATGTCAAGTGGCGCAATACCTCGATAATCAGCCATAACTTATTTTTCACAACGTTTAAAATTCACACAATTTATTATATTTTTTTATCCTGTTCGCAGCGCCATGTAATGATTCTACGATTCCATTTTAACAACTGTTTATTTTGAGGAAGTAAACATACCATTCAACAAAAACATATATATAAAAAGTGGTAGGTACAATGTGAATATACATGGTGGCACACACATACAAATAGGATCAATTTTAATTTATTACAGTACTTAATTAGTTTTCGAGATATAGCCTGTCAAAGTTTGTATGATGTCATATTTTACATTTTTTTTCAGCAATAAACGATTGCAATTGACATATTTTTAATTCAACACATCTTTTTCCATATCATCGCACTTTTTTCTATCCCTTTTCATTCACTCATTGCCAAATTTCTTGAAATTAGATTGAAATTCCATAATTTGTCACATGCTAACTCAATCTAACCTAACCCGACCTAACCTAACTCAGTCTAACTTTACTTTAGAATTAAAAAAAAAAGAAAAGAGATAGAAAAAGGTGCAATTATATGGAAAAGTTGTGTAAATGTAAATGTAATTTATATTATTGTATAGTATACATTGAGAGCAATAAACAGATTCAGTTCCTTTTTTGTTTTACGTATACAATTTCAAGAGTAAATAACAATGGTGATTAATTATTTCTGTTATTCAACGAAAAGAAAATGCAAGCCCAAATAATGAAACAAGCAGAGATAGCGGCAAAACTTATTGACTTTGTTCGATCCCACGGAATCAGAATGAGCTGCGGTTTTTTCTTCTTAGGAGTAGTGGGCTCCTGGAACAAACATATTTGTATTGTAAAGTATGAGTAACTATTGGAAAAAGTATCAGGATTCTCAGTTTTCTGGTTTTGGTTGAAAATAAAATTATCACTTCGGACATGACATTCATTTTCCACTGATAAATGTAGTTCAAAAAATAGTTTTTTGCTACATGATGGAACTCAAAGTGCCCTTAGGGAAATTAATAGTTGTAAGTACATTTTTGTCATAAAGGATATACCTGTGCGTGGGGTCTGCAGAAATTTGAATACTAATGAATACAATTTAAAATATAAAGTGGTATGAGTAAATAAATAAAAGGTAAGACGTTTTAAAATTATATCAGACATATTATTTTAATTATATCATTAATCTTCTTGTATGAATATGTGAATCAGTTTCTATGCATGTCACTATGATAGTAAACATTTTTCATATCAACGTGTTGGTGTATCTGTATATAGTTGTTAAGTTTGAACTGCTTCGCTTTTCCTAGTTATCATCAATAATTTTGACAAAAACTTCAGTTTAACTTCTAAAAAAAATTAGACTCAGTTATAACTACTTTTCCATATCACTTTTGACCACCTGATCAAAGTTACTTCACATACTACCTGTATTCATGATAGGTAAAGTCATAATGAAATATAATTATTGATTAACAGAGCCACAATCACCCCATTTCAGACAGATATCTATCATCTCTGCAAATTATTTCTTCGAAGATATCTGATGAGCTACTCTTACCCAGTACCAATATTTTAGAAATCATCAAATACTAAATCTGAATTTCTTTCTTTCACAATTATAAATCTAGCTCTATAGTAACGCAGTTCATGAAGCAAACGGCAGGGATCCCTGCAGTTGGATACATTAGAATACCCTACCGGTAGAGATGTCACACGTAGAGATAAGAATCCTCCTTAACGACGGCCTCATCCTAAATTATATGTTTTCATGTCGAAAGGATATATAATTATGAGCCCATTCGATCAATAACGAACCTCAGGCGCCCTCAGTTCTCCAACTTCTCATCCTACCAATGAACCTAAGAAGCCAGGTAGTGCAGCCAGGAAGCAATGTAGTCATCGTCCCAGGATATCTTATGAATCTGCCTCGCATTAAACTTTTGAGCAGCAGAAGCATAATCTGCACCGGAAGGGAGAACAAACTCCCCCTAGGCAGTTCAGCAAACGCTTACGCTCGAACGATAATTCACCCAGTATCGATTAATCAACTTCAATCTCGTTAGTACACCATTATACCTGCCTACGAGTATATTCAAGAAGATGGTCTACAGGTACAGTTCCGAGGCTTCAAATTCTGGATGTCTTCTGGCTGATGGGTACATGTATTCCTACAGCTATCGAAGGGGTCTCTTGAATTACGTCATAGGAGACTTTCTTCTCAGGCCACACATTTGGGTTGCTCACCTACCTGAGGTAGTCGCAGTCAGGTTCTCACTAGATTAAGGAGAATATACCATGGTTTGTCAACTTCGGAGTGGTTCACAAATAAATTCAGGCCGTTGCGTATCGGAACCGATTTTCATCGTTTGGCACTTAGTCCCACTGTTGCTTTAGCTCACCTGAAAAATAACTCACCAAATGAAGTAATCTGTTTCGTTTAGATTTTTGAGAAAACAGTGGAGAGTCGAGAGGGCCACCAAAACTGCCAAGGAAAAATCCTCTTGCAAAAATCCTTAAACATCAACTTTTTTGTCAGAATAACGAATTTCAACCTGAACTATTGCAATAATTTGAACCCGATAAGCAAACGAATCATTCCCCATTTTTTCACTTTATTGAAGAGTGTAGTTCCTTAAACCATACAGCTCCTTACAGCTTTCATCCCACAGCTCTTTGTTTGGAAGATAAGGAGCTTTTCAATGAAAAGGATATATTTTCCGAAAAATACAAAACCTAATTAAATTTTATGTAAAAACCTATTGTATCAATCTGAATGATTCTTTCGAAACAAATTGCAGTTTTTCCCGTACGCAAGTATCCAATTCGAGTATCCGAGAAAGCTTCCAATGATTATTTATTTTGGAAATAATGAATAAGGAACTAGATCTCTATAGGGGCAAGTACGCTTAGATAAAGAAAATTTGTCAATGCGATGGGCGAGAGTCATACAAGTGCCTGGCGAATACGAAAAAGAACGTTTAATCTATCTGTGGAAATTTTGGTTATAATAAGAAAAATAATTGAAGACGACTTTGATCATTACATTGTATTTTTTTTTCAATAAATGAAAGAGCTATGGCAAATGGAAATGTCTTATTTAATGTGTTTTTCGGACGTGTGTACTTTCTGTTCTCCAAAATGATCTCGACTCAGCACTCACTTCCATCATTAAATAAACATTGCAGACGAAATTATGTTTATACAAATCGGTAGGTACTCTCATACATTACTCAAATAATATGCGTTACCTGTTGGGTCTCCCTGGTTTCTCGCATTCCACTCGATTCATTAAAGAATAACAAGTATTATTTCATGATAGATGGCGGATATTTCACGGATTCGATCAAAACTGTAAGTTCTCGAATATAAATCCTTTTAGTTTTTCCAATTTTCAGAACACATATTGTTAATATTCTAAAGCTCCATATCTTCTGAATGAGTGGACCGATTTCTAAAAACAAAGGAAGTCTAATAGGCAATCGAAAGCCTTTTCGAACCTTTCGAACAAACAGTCCTGTCAACGAGAGGAAATGCTGGAACCCCAAAACTTTGATGTTATATGGTTCAAAATAATACCATAAAAGATCACCAAATTCATATGCTGCATTTATCGACCACCTAGCGATACACAATATAGGGTAAATCAATCATCCTAGTGCCGAAATTTTCATATTCGGCGACTTCAATGTCCACAATATCGAATGGCTCAAATTTTCAAATATCAATTACGAACAAGGTTGCGAAGCTGAGGCTTTTGCAATAAGCAGCAGACTTACTCAGATTATTATGGGAGGATATTCAGGACCATTTAGAAATTTTCCCTGGCAAGATGTTTGTTTCAGCTCTGAAGATCCATCAACTTGTGCTTCTAAAGACACGGAAGTTTTCAATAAAATGACCTTCAAACGACTAACCTTGGTTCAACAAAATTTTGATTGCACTTTTTTCATGTCGAGTAGTTTTCTCTTCGCCATTGCAAGTATAAAAAATTTTTAAAGTATGCTCGCAAATTTCAGTAATGATGGAGTTAAAATGGTTTGGAAAACATTACTCACCTCCATGTTTCTTTGTGTAAGCATTTCCGTACTTTGGTACATCGGCATCGATAGAACCACTTTCTCTCATCAAATTAACTAACAATCGATTTCAACAATATCTTCGAGGTAAATTGTTGTCTTATTTGGAGTCTATGTTCACCTGGGGAATTGTAAGGTTTATTTTTAATCGATAATACATCAACAACTTGAAATATATTCACCTGTTACTTGTGAGTCAGCTGAAGTGATTACTATTTTATTTTTTTGGGAAATATCTATTTACAGTTGATGCGTAACTCGTCACATTCACTTTATTAACAGCGAGTGGCAAGCAATGTTTGTTGATATCAAATGAAAGTCTGCGGTTATCTTCCAATATTTGTGTAAATTCAAGTTGAGTTGAACTCGATGTCCTTGACGTTCGAATAAGTAATGCAAACCGCATATTATATAATAACAAATGAGTAGTAATGTGCTGGATTTCTGTATAAATAGTAACAGTGAAAAAACGTTGCTGCATGAGGTCGTGTCTTGCTTACAAAATACGATTCTGTAACACACCTTCTTCAAACATTTTTTTTTTTCGAAAACAGGTCCAGGTAGTCGAAACTTTCCCCAAAAATTCTTCTTCATTAATCTGTAATCTTATGTTGATAGGAATGAATTTAACAGTGTGATAACAGTGATGCAATTAGAAAAAATATAGATCGCAAGAGAATTGATTTCTTGTAGATTTGTAGAAGGAATGGGTTTCATGAGGTAGATTGTGTTTTACAAGAATGGCTATTCTGCGGGAATGGGGGTCTTTGGAGCTGTGGATAGTGGTGTAACTGGAGTTATAGATAAGATGTGGATATTTTGGAAGTGAAAGGGCGATTTAGTGTAATAACGTTTGCGGAAAAGGTCTTGGGCGTTCAGAGTGCAGTGGACTAAACGCCCATCAACAATGTCTTTAGGATGTATTACTATTTATTGAAGAGATTTTTTGTCAATATGAAGGCTTTACATTTTTGAAGTCTTCCGAAAATGGTGATACACTGAGGAAGGCATGTGTACTGTTTGTCGCCCGAAATTATAATTGGGATACGAATGGATCTGGAGATGATTCTCTAGAATCTAACGTTGTGGATTCCGGCATGTTCTAGGAATTCCTTCCTTCCTGATATCGAGATTGACACTACGGATGATCAACAAAAAATGGAGATTTTTGGAAGGTGTGGGTTCTGAAGAAAGGGGGGCACAGGTCGATGACCTGAATAGATCTATTTCCAGTTTGCTGGCCAAGGGTTATTTGCAGTTACTCAGACGATTTGTTTAAGCCAAAGATTTTAAGTGAGTTTGTTCTAATAAAGTTAATATTTGAATTGACTAGAACATATGATATGACGCCTCTTGATATTTTTGAATACATGAGTGACATCTGAAGTGTACGATATATAAACGCAAAACTCGTGGATAAAAAAAGTTGCCCCACAATAAAATTACCCCCTGGAAATTATATAATGTAATAAACAATTTTGTGAATTTCATAATCCGAATTATACTAAAATGCCTCTATGTATATAAAATTCAGCTTCGGATCTTCGAACAAATGATAACAAACCTAAGAAAAAAGGATACACACATAATATATAGTCTATTTCAAAAGAGTGTAGAGTAATAAAATCTCATTAAGTATTCAAAAGCGCTACAGGGTGATCCGTCAATAAATTATATCACTTCCCTAGTCCGCATTGCAAAATTATGTCGTTTCATAAAGAGCAGGTAGGTATCACCCTGTTTTAAGGGATTTGTCCATTGTTATCGACGGATAAATACTGAGCCAGAGGCGCGCTAGTGGGATAATTGCCAAAAGAATATGCATTCATAAAAATTATATTAAAGGAAATAAAAATTTAATACAGCAGAACAGTGTTATTAAAAAAATATAAAATGTAACAATAAAATATATACGAACCGAAATCGGGAAATACTCACAAACACACACGAACGAACTTTACGTATTGAAACACTTGTGGGGACTTTAAATCAATTTATTCACAAAAACGACAAGAACTTTACTGGATACGTTATTANATAACTCGAATGTTTAAGACACCATTACAATATATTTAAACCCTTTTTCTTAATTACCTGGGTTTAATAGGTATTGCATGATTGGTGGGCAGGGTCAAAAAGGGATTATTATAATGACATGGCACCTCGGAACTAAGTGTTAACCCTTTTTTGAGAAATCATGCTCAAGTATATGAACCCAAATTGCATATTAAATAAGTTTACAAGAACCACTAAAATTAATCTTAATCTTTTTTTAAGAAATTTTACTTACCTAAATACATGTAGGTACTTAGTTTTAGACCAAATTACTTCCCAAAAATGGCCTTTTATTATTATCTATGTCTGTAATTTTTAATTTACTTTAATTATTAAGTCTAATAATCCTAAAATTTGCCTACGCCCATGGACGACAACGAAATTCAGGCAAATTTTATGACACTTCATGATTTATTACTCTACACTCTTTTGAAATAGACTATAACCATGAATATTCCATTTTTTAGAAAGTATAATAGTCAAAGATTTGTCACTTTCTACGGACCAAAAATATCCAATTCCTTGCCAAATAAAATCAAAACTATAGAAGCTATTGAAAACTCAAATCCAAAGTAAAAACTTTCTTCTTATGAAACCAAACAAAAATCACGTTATTCTTTTGATATCAGATTTCATCTAAACTAATACCACAAGAGCACAAAATTTTATATTTCGAGATTGAACTGAAAATTTCGAGATTGACTTCAAAATTTCTAATTTAGTGTCATAAATTTCGAGTTTGAGGTCGAAATTCGAGATTAAAGTCCAGATTTCGAATTTTAGAATCATAATTTCCAAGAAACAAATACCTAATAAAAATATGTGGCTCCTCTGCGCTTCCGTACTTTGAAGGTTAAGGTCCCATATATTTGTTGTGCGTTGTCTCTCAATGGATGCGTACTTGAATTTTGTGAACATACTTTTGTTAATTTTATCAAAAATCAATTATAATATTTATAAGCTGATACGATACTTTGACAGAAAAAAAAATCTGTTTAAAATCTGTTTTTCCGTTAATCATCTGTTGCCCCCATACGACCGACAACTCTCAGAAGTTGAAAAACTTGTGCGAGCTAAGGACTAACGAGGTCTTACCTTTTAACGTGTGATTCCTAACACGGTTGCAGAATCATTCCAGCTTCAACCAGATAAATTCACTAGAAAAAAATATCTGGCCGATGCGGGAATCGAACCCACGGCCTTCCGATCGTGAGTCGGGCGCATTACCACCGCGGCCAATTCCATAAAGTAGACATACATGCCCTACTATCCGTGCGAAGCCAGGACGGATCTTTTGTTCTCACAAAATCATTCGACATATGATAGTAAAATACTTTTCGAACCTTATTGATTGATCTCAAACAATTCTGGGGCTGGGGCTATTTGTCACGAAAAAACGTTTCGCTTGAATTTGAATCATTGCTGTAGGTCCATTAATAATTTGTTATTGAAGTTGGCAATTTAATTGTGAACTCAACCGAATCAAGCATGCAAATGGAAACGTCATAAATAACATTGTACATAATATTATAACCATCCTGATTCGTACATTCACAACAGCGATGATTTCTAGTAAAGCTGAGAAGAGTTCACAAATAAACAGTTCCACGTAGTGTATTTCAAAAGAAGCAGAGATACGTTTTTCTAGATGTGAAGTAGCTTATTCTCAAAATGACGAAAGGTTCGATAGAAAATAGATCATCAAAACAAACGTCATAATTTTGAGAAACAGAATTTCTATATCGAGGATTTACAATGTAGTGAAAGAGTTGAAGGATACTCCACGTTTAAATAAAATCAAATTGGCTGAAATATCCATCTTGAAAAGATCAAGGTAGGTTTTAATCCATTAATTTCGTTTTCGAAGTCACTTAATGAAAAGCGAAATCACTTATATTTTTCCTGTTTTTCCTGTATAGCGATGAATTTATTTCAACCCTTTTTTCAAGTGTACTATCTATGAAGATTGTAATTAATAAAAACCACTAAAAAATAACCGAATCGCAATATTCGGATCATACTATTATTCCAAAATATTAGGCAGTAAATTCTCAGAAATGACTGGCGTTTTTGCCTTAATCTGTCTCTTGCAGTGACGTAAGAAAATTATACTAAACAGATGTGGAAAAATGATGATAAAATATACAGGGTGTTTCCTAACTACGGTACGAAATTTCAGAGAATGATCCGTTAGGTCGTTTTAAGAAAAAGGTTCCTATAAACATATGTCCGGAGTTGCTTCGTTTCTGAAATATAGGGTGTTGAAGTTAAAAAAAACGGTATTTATAAACTTTCATAAACATCCTTACACCGATTTGGTTGAAATTTGCTACAATTATTTTGAAGTAATGAGGCGCTTATTTAACACAAACTAGATTCAAATTATTAGGTACAGTGGGCACCACGGCCAACAATATTGGGAAGAAAAAGAGCGCTACCGACTTTTTTTTAAGTTTTTTATTTTTTTAGATTGATCAGTTGATCATACAACTTTTTCGTTGCTTGTGTTTTCTTTATATCAAGCTTAGTTTACGAGAAAAATAATTCACTTCTAAAAACTAATCATGAACAACATAAAATAACAACCAAAAGTAAATAAACAATTTCGACCTTAGAGTAAGCAAAATGTCCACCCACTGATAAAATACATGACTGCAATCGAGTTGTCATTGATTGTCAAAAATACCTGGAGTATTTCTTATGACATTGCAATTGTAAATTATTCGATTTTTCAAATCATTCAAATCTAGTACAAGAGTTTCATAAACAAGAAACTTCAGATGACCCCATAAATAGAAATCTAGAGGATTTATATCAGAACTGCGAGCTGGCCAATTTTAAGGTCCTGCACGTCCAATCCAGCGATTAGGGTAGGTGATGTCGATATTCTGATGAGCAAAAACACTAAAATGAGCTGGAGCCCCGACGTGCATAAACCATATGTTGCCTCTTACAAGCACTGGCACTGAGTAAATGATCTCCCAAAAATCCTTGTAGGAATCACGGTAATCTTGCTGGTAGAAAAAATGGGTCAATTAGGTAATCACCAATCATTCCAACACAAAAGTTCAGAAAAATTGTTGCTGAAAATGACTTTCTCTAATAACGTGGGGATTTTCATCGGCTCAAAAATGGTCATTGTGAAAGTTCATGATAGCATCTCGTGAAAAATTTGCTTCGTCCGTAAATAATGTATTTGGTAAAGAATTATTATTTTGTGCCATCGTATGACTCAATCACGTGCAAAACATTAATCTTGGGTAATGATCCCAATACAGT